AAATTCAACCAAAGCGTTGTTTTATTGTAAAGGCAGCATCATTTTATTTTTTAATGCTCATACAGAACATCAAGTTTATTTCTGCTGGGTTGTTAAAAAAGTGTATAAATATTGGTGAAATACAATATATAAACTACATAACCAAAAATGTAATATGCTGTCATTTTAAAAGATTGGACTAACTGGATTCTGTTGTGTGTGGGTCCTGATATAAAATGGAACTGCTCCCCTTCATTATTACACAGATCTGTATTTTGCCTTGGTTTAAATAAAGGTAAAGACATGAAGTCTATTTTGTGCAAAAGGTGTGTATATCTACTAGCCAAGGAAGTATAGAAGATGATTTTCTCATTGCATCATTCATGTGCCTGAAGGGTAGGGCAAGTGGGGCTGCGCGAACCCTCCTTTTTACATACACGACCCAGCGGTACGCCGTCAAACCCGGGCTTGTGCTCCAACCTAACTTTGACGTTGTTTTGCAAGTCATCGCCGACAGACACACGCTCTGCCCTGGTTCTGGGACTCGGCATTTCCTGCAATCGTCCTGACAGGCCTTGAGGTAAGCCACGGCTCTGAAAATAAAGCGGCTATTCGCGTCAAAGATAGAGCAATAGCGCCATCTTGCGCCGGTTTTTCCCCAAGGCACGCGCCTGCGGAACTAGTCAAACGGGGTGGGGTGGGAAGAAGAACCCCTTTCGGGCGGTCAAAAATAGAGAAAGATCCCCCAGCACCCCCTTCTTTTTTCTCCCCCCTTCCCTTCCCCCCCCCCCCCCATTCCCAGTACTTGCATACTATTAGGTCCCAAAGGAAACAAAAGCCGTACAAAATCTGATTTTAAAGAAAATGGGGAAGAATTAGAACATCTGGCATTACTCGATCAACAACATATTCTGAAGGGTTTAACAAAAATTAGGTTTTGATTGTTTTAGGCGCGCGGGCACGCACACACGAGGGCGCAGTCTTCGCTCAGGTCTCTTCTGGCCCTTCTTACCCCCTGCCCCAACTAACCCCCTATTATCAGAACAATAACCCACACGCACACGCTCGCGCGCGGGCACACACTCACACCCTTACACCACTGCCCGAGCGAAATGCAGCCGCTTCCCTCACCTCTCCTGTCAACCTCACCCCCCTCCCCGGTTCACAACCTTTTCAAAAATAGGGCTTCCTCCTCTGCCAAGCGTTAGAAGAGGGGGGGGGACAGAAGGTGGGCGAGGGGGAGGGGGTGAAATGCGCGTCTGTTGTTCGTTGCTGGTAGACAAAACATTCCAATAATCCGGTTTCAAAGGGAAGAGCACCCCACCTTATTTAAACCATAAAACGATTAAGGCCAGACGTCTAGCCGGTTCCGTGGTCCTGTTTTGTACAATTCTATTCAGCATGGAGACAATCAAAGTTGTAAAGCTGGCATTTTTGGGCTGCGGAAATGTACCTCTGGGTTGCTTTCAAAGCTGCTGTATCCTGTCTTTTTTGTACCGACTACAAAAGGGTTCTGTTTGGGGTTTTGTTTTTGTTTTTAAGGGCAAGATGAGAGGCCCGCTTTTCTTTCTTTCTTTCTTTCTTTCTTTCTTTCTTTCTTTCTTTCTTTCTTTCTTTCTTTCTT